GTCTCACTGGTTTTAACTCCTTTAAGCTGCAGTTTGGCCTAACTCAGAGAGATATAAAGAGAAGAGTGACACAGCATCCTGTAGATGTGTTGATCTGATGTCTTCCGGTAAAGGAGCAGTCAATATTGTCTCGAAACAACTTCGCTGCGTATCACGGCTAGACTCCATGGTCATACCTGACAACAACAAATCGCTGATCTCGTCTGCCATCTTCGAGTAAGCCACTCTGCATCCAAAAGAAAACCCGTGATGTGTTTGTGTTTACGTATTTCCAAAGCAGGATTCATACAAAGTCATAAACAGAGTTGCAATGTTTGACCCGTATTTGTCCACACAGCAGACTTGGTCTGTGTAGTCATCAGAAGCCAACTTCTTTCTTTTAGGAGCAATTACTAAGGATGCAACTAACTTCAGAAGCATCCATATTTCATGTTCCATGGTTTAGGACTCTAGGATTCGGTAAAACGTAAAAAACTCGCATCCTAGACAATTCAACATTTGGAAATTAGAAAAGACAAGAGTGTAAGACACTTGGAGTACTTACCTAGCTTGAATTGGTAGCCTGTCATCCCAAATAGCCAATGACTCGTTTAAACGACCAACAAAGCTTTGGCAAGTGTATCTGTGTCTCTCAAGGGAAACCTGTGGAAATAAAGCCGTTAAGTGTCCTTTTACAGAATTAAGGCTCTTTTGCACTTGGTCATCATATGAACGCAACTTAACTTGATGAGAAACCATCTTTTTCAAAATCAGTTTATGAATTATATCATGTTCTATGGTTTGGTCAGTATCAGTCGATGTTAAATGTAAAGCAATAATGAGATTTCAACGGGTTTGAACCTAACAGCTAAAATTGAACAATTGTACACATACCAGCTCGCTCATCGAATCACATTCTTCTTCCAGGGAACTTTTGAGCAAATAGAATGATATGTAGATTCCGGTACCCAAATCCCAATTTTCAATCTCAGACTTGTGATCATCCATTGAAGTTGCAATCCTCCATATTTCTGAATGGTTAGCTGCAGTATATTCAAGAAAAAAGAGATTACTCCAAATGGAATGATTCAGTTCTGAAAAGTGTTATCATTCCTACTTATACTAGAACCATGCAGTGATTGGAGGGGCAAGAGTTGGCCGGCAGATAATGGAATGAAGGAGCTTACCTGACAAGAACAATAAGTGAGCCACTGACGTCATGAAAATGCAGTGAGCTTTTTGCCAATTTGCACATTCCAGAAAGTGGTCAAGGGCCTTTGCCAAATCGCCATGGTAACTGTTATATACTGCGTGCAGTGCAAGAAAAAATGCATAGAACAAGCATATCAGTAAGATGGACAAAGTCGCCATTTCACATAAGAGTATATTTTACAAAAGTGAAAAAGAGAGTTTTGTAAGTGTTATTTACCAGAGCTTCATGCATCCATTCAGAAGGGACACCCAAGTCCTTGATAAATTGTCTCTGTGAATCATCAGAACCCCAAGTTTCATAGTATCGAAACAGGATTTCTCGAATTGCGATAATCTGTAGGTACGGATAGTCTTCACAGTAAGGTATGTGAAGAACAACGTAGATAGCCCAATGACAAAGGCCCTGAGAGAGAAGCTGTGCAACAAACCCCATATTGACAACTTGAAGGCCATCTGAAGTCAGGGCACCAACTGCTGCTAGGATTTCTCGCTGGTACCAGATCATATGATAGTCAAGTGGATCGTCACTTGAAGAGGAGGAACTAAACATGGTCTTTATAAAACCATTATCTCTCTCTTCGTTACTGTGCAGACGCATAAGATAATACAAGAGGTCAGAATGGTTGTCATTGCTCAGAGAAACATCCAAAGGTCCTTCATCAATATATACTGGGACCGGCCTTGGAGCTTTTCCCTTTTCTAGCAGGAGTTGATAATTTTGAAAGATGACAGGTAAAGAGCTATCAGGAGGCAAGGAATGCCACATTAACAGCCCCAGGAATCTCTTCCAGTCAATTGTAACATCTTGCAATGCATCAGTATGATACCAAAAGTCTTCTACTCGTCCTGATCTTGCTCAGTATGGTAGTTCTGAAGACGAAGACACTGAGTGATGCAATATCCAAAGACAATGGTGCACCGAAAGATTTGGTTACCGGTTTTTAATAGCAAAAGTACAAATAGGAAAGGAAGTTGTAATAAAAAAAAAAGTTGGACCAGAAGGGAATTACTTACCAGAAGATGATGTGTCATGATGATGCATGTGGTGAAATTAGGTCCAAGTTAGAGATTTGACAAACACTAGACTCTTGCTTGAAAATGAGTTCCAGGTATGCGTCATTTTCATAGCTTTGTTGCAATGCAAATACTGCTTGAAAATGATGTATCATGCTTTTTCAAGATAATATTTGTTTAAGTCACAGTTGCAATTGGGAGTTTTTCTGAAATTTTAGACTTTGACCAATCCAAATTTCCAGAGAACCGAAATTGTCATACTGTCAAGATTAAAAACGAGCAGGCTTAAACGAGGATTGTTATTGCTAGTGCTCACAATCACATGATGATGAGTGATAGACAATTAAAAACAAAAAAAATAGTAACTAAATGAATGAAACGTGTTTAGATGAATAATGTAATAATAAAACAAACATAATGCAAAGCTCCAAATTTTAGATCAGTTGGTTAGTTGGTTTGACCGTGGTCCAGGTTTGGGACATTTTCGGCTCATTAAAGTAGAAGATTCTTGTCTCCCTCCTACATTGAATTCTTCACTATATAGTATCCCTGAAAAGATGAAATATATCAAATTCAACGAAGATTAAACTTCAATTTCTACTTAATTTTATGCAACAAAACTTAGTAATAAACAAAAATCATTTTCCGGCAATTTGTAAAGAAGCAATTTCTACAATATGTTGGTGTCTCTCTATGATTATCAAGACGAACACACCATTGAACAGTAATTAAGAGGAATTATACCATTACACTACTTACTGAATCTAAAGAGACCTTAAAAGGTACTTAACAGTGCATAATAATAAAAACATTTAGTGACACACTGCATAATCATGCTTGGAGTGTAAAATAATCCATCTCTTTTCATTGTTTCAATGTATGATAAGTAGTTCCCTTCCGCCTCTTGAATAGCTTCTTGGTAATTTTCAATTTCTTCTAGCTGAAAGAACAAAAAAAAAGAATAATTGGCAAATCATTTTTGGTGTGATGTTATAGGTGTTGAGGTATAACTCATCTCTTCAATAACTTCTTTTCTAACAATGTCGTGTAAGTCCGGATATCCCAATTGCTGAGCGATAGCTCTAAATTGACAGTTGCCATCTCCAATTACCTCCACTTCATGCTTGTTATATAGTTCTCTACAAACCGTTGTTTGATGGCATCTCTCTTACCTTCAAGAATCTTTTGAGCAGCTTGAGCAATCTTTTCTCCAGGAGAAAGAGGGAAAAACTTAACCAATCCCAATTTTTTTTTCCATATTTCCTAATCTTCTTCAAAGTATTGGAAGAATTTCAATTTCCAAAAGCAATTAGAACTTCATGATTACAAGCTTTTAACTCCTTCATCACCTCCCAAAATTCATTATCTACCTTTATCATGGTGTGGTATCCATGTGAAGAGTTTAAATTTTGTAGAATAGAAGCAAGAGGTGCAACTCCATCAAACACCAATACAGATAGCAGTCCTTGCATTTGGATTTGATGTCATGAGTAACGGCACAGCCTGGCATTTCGATCGCCAATCTTCTTTGTATATGATCCTCATATTTTTATATTAAAACAAGAGATTAAAAAAAAAATTAATCTTTGTGCAAAAACGAGACGATAATCAGATAGTACTAGTAATATATTTTATGTGGATGCAAGTTCGGGTGAAATGTCAAATTTCAAAGGTCATCCTACGTGTGAAAGCTGTGTGAATCCATTTTATGGGGATAAACAAGTTTTCATCCATCTGCCAAGCTTAATATGCCCGTGTCACCTGTGTGATGCGCTGATTCCTGGTTTAAAGTCGTTTTACTTGGAGGTATATTATGGATGAACATGTTCTGACTCTTTTGGCTGCACAGATTCTGTGTTTCTGTCTCACACATGTTCTAACTCTTAACTGTACATGCGTTGTCGCAGGATCATTTTCTGCAAAGTGTACATATTCGAGGTGGGGACGATTACTGGAAGTCTAGCTTCCCTTTTCCAAGAGCTTTCGAAGCTAAGAAATACTTGAAGGTAAAACACCCCAACT